AAATTTGGTTGTCTTATCAAAGAACCTCCCAAGATACACACGTAGCGAGAGTTCATATAAATTGCTAACGCTGAACTCTTTTTGAATCAAGTCAAAACTTATCGTAACAATGATTTCATGGTCTACATTGCAAAACACCTTACCAAAAATGAAAAAACTGACAAAGTACATCAACCCGGTAACAGCAACAGTTAACTAAATCTCCCAGCACTTTTTGCTGAAACCGTATTCGGAAACTGAAAAAATTCAGTCTTTAACTTTTTATAATACCATTAAAAACACTCTACACTTCTAAGCAGCAAAATTCTTCTGGTAAAGCACTATTCACCTGTTGCAAGAACTTTACAACACAGAAGTCGTCACAGACAAATTTACATGCTAAACGTTATTATTGGATGGCGAATATACGAGTTTGTCATTTGCATAAGATTCTGCACATTAATTGTTCAGATCATCTTTAAGCACTATAAAGCAATTTCTTGCTACCAAAATCACTTTTGACTGTAACCAGATCAAGTGTAAAGTGCTTAACGAGACAATCGCAAAAGAACATGCATCATCATATAAAACACCACTGTAATTCTGTAACCCAACCACTGCTCCAACTTAAATCGTAATACGTGGAAAAACCTAAAAATTAGTTTCAACAGCCAACTGTTGATCAGAAAAAAAAGATAACTTATTTGGCTGTTCTTTTTCAGAAAATTTACAATTACTTCTAAACTTGGCATATCATTTACACAAAGTCCGTTCATCAACCAATAGTTCTTGAAAACCCTGATTAATTACCAATTAGTTGCAGAAATGTTTACTTTCTTTTTTTAACACAACATAAGAACTTATGTCATCAAATCCAAGAAATGAAAATAAACAAAGAGCGTATTTGCAGAAATCTTGAATTTAAAATTTTTTGCTGGTGAGAGAAGAGTAGTGTATCAGGATTGAAAAACTTAAAAAATTATCTTAAAAAGAGAATTCTATTTCAACACACAGAAAAATGTCGCTGTTTTCTTAAAACCAGAGCTTTATTTAAGTTCTATATCTTTCTTACCTCTCAAAAAAAAAAAAA